CACTGTATGTCCTTGCCTCCTTTGTCATAGATTAGTTGACCACAGGTGCATGGGTTTATTTTTGGGCTTTCTATCCTGTTCCATTGATCTATATTTCTGTTTTTGTGCCAGTACCATATTGTCTTGATTACTGTAGCTTTGTAGTATAGTCTGAAGTCAGGGTGTCTGATTCCTCCAACTCTGTTTTTTTCCCCCAAGATTGCTTTGGTTATTCGGGGTCTTTTGTGTCTCCATACAAATTTTAAGATTTTTTGTTCTAGTTCTGTAAAATATGCCATTGGTAATTTGATAGGGACTGCACTGAATCTGTAGATTGCTTTGGATAGTATAGTCATTTTCACCATATTGATTCTTCCAATTTAAGAACATGGTATGTCTCTCCATCTGTTTGTGTCATTTTTTATTTCTTTCATCAGTGTCTTATACTTTTCTGAGTACAGGATTTTTACTGCCTTAGGTAGGCTTATTCCTAGGTATTTTATTCCTTTTGTTGCAGTGGTGAATGGGATTGTTTCCTTAATTTCTCTTTCTGATCTTTTGTTGTTAGGGTATAGGAATGCAAGAGATTTCTGTGCATTAATTCTGTATCCTGCAACTTTACCAGGTTCATTGATTAGCTCTAGTAGTTTTCTGGTGGCATCTTTAGGATTCCCTATGTATAGTATCATGTCATCTGCAAACAGTGACAGTTTTACTTCTTCTTTTCCGATTTGGATTCCTTTTATTTCTTATTCTTCTCTGATTGCCATGGCTAGGACTTCCAAAACTATGTTGAATAATAGTGGTGACAGTGGATATCCTTGTGTTGTTTCTGAACTTAGAAGAAATGCTTTCAGTTTTCCACCATTGAGAATGATGCTTGCTGTGGGTTTGTCATATATGCCCTTCATTATGTTGAGGTAGGTTCCCTCTAGGCCCACTTTCTGGAGAGTTTTTATCATAAATGGGTGTTGAATTTGCATCTATGGAGATGATCATATGGTTTTTATTCTTCAGTTTGTTAATATGGTGTATCACATTGATTGATTTGCATGTATTGATGAATCCTTGCATCTCTGGGATAAATCCCACTTGATTGTGGTGTATGATCCTTTTAATGTGTTGTTAGATTCTGTTTGCTGGTATTTTGTTGAGGATTTTTGCATCTATATTCATCAGTGATTTTGGTCTGTAATTTTCCTTTTTGTAGTATCTTTGTCTGGTTTTGGTATCAGCATGATGGTGGCCTCATAGAATGAGTTTGGGAGTGTTCCTTCTTCTGCAATTTTTGGGAAGAGTTTGAGAAGGATGGGTGTTAGTTCTTCTGTAAATGTTTGCTAGAATTCACCTGTGAAACCATCTGGTCCTGGACTTTTGTTTGTTGGAAGATTTTAAATCACAGTTTCAATTTCATTACTTGTGATTGGTCTGTTCATATTTTCTATTTCTTCCTGATTCAGTCTTATAAGGTTATACCTTTCTAAGAATTTGTCCATTTCTTCCAGGGTGTCCATTTTATTGGCATAGAGTTGCTTGCAGTAGTCTCTTATGATGCTTTGTATTTCTGTGGTGTCCTTTGTAACTTCTCCTTTTTTATTTCTAATTTTATTGATTTGAGTCCTCTCCCTCTTTTTCTTGATGAGTCTGGCTAAAGGTTTATCCTTTTTTTTTTAATCTTCTCAAAGAAACAGCTTTTAGTTTTATTGATCTTTGCTACTGTTTCCTTTGTTTCTATTTCATTTATTTCTGCTCTGATCTTTATGATTTCTTTCCTTCTGCTAACTTTGGGTTTTGTTTGTTTTTCTTTCTCTAGTTCCTTTAGGTGTAAGGTTAGATTGTTTATTTGAGATTTTTCTTGTTTCTTGAGGTAGGCTTGTATTGCTATAAACTTCCCTCTTAGAACTGCTTTTGCTGCATCCCATAGGTTTTGGATACTCGTGTTTTCATTGTAATTTGTCTCTAGGTATTTTTTGATTTCCTCTTTGATTTCTTCAGTGATCTCTTCGTTATTTAGTAATGTATTGTTTAGCCTCCATGTGTTTGTGTTTTTTACACCTTTTTCCCTGTAATTGATTTCTCATCTCATAGCATTGTGGTCAGAAAAGATGCTTGATATGATTTCAATTTTCTTAAATTTACCAAGGCTTGATTTATGACCCAGGATGTGATCTCTCCTGGAGAATGTTCCATGTGCATTTGAGAAGAAAGTGTAATCTGCTGTTTTTGGATGGAATGTCCTACAAATATCGATTAAGTCTATCTGGTCTATTGTGTCATTTAAAGCTTGTGTTTCCTTATTAATTTTCTGTCTGGATGATCTGTCCATTGGTGTAAGTGAGGTGTTAAAGTCCCCCACTATTACTGTGTTGCTATCAATTTCCTCTTTTATAGCTGTGAACATTTGCCTTATGTATTGAGGTGCTCCTATGTTGGGTGCATATATATTTATAATTGTTATATCTTCTTCTAGGATTGATCCCTTGATCATTATGTAGTGTCCTTCCCTGTCTCTTGTAACATTCTTTATTTTAAAGTCTATGTTATCTGATATGAGTATTGCTACTCCAGCTTTCTTTTGATTTCCATTTGCATGGAATATCTTTTTTCCATCCCCTCACTTTCATTCTGTATGTGTCCCTAGGTCTGAAGTGGGTCTGCTGTCTCTTGTAGACAGCATATATGTGGGTCTTCTTTTTGTATCCATTCAGCCAGCCTGTGTCTTTTGGTTGGAGCATTTAATCCATTCACGTTTAAGGTAATTATCAATATGTATGTTCCTATTACCATTTTCTTAGTTGTTTTGGGTTTGTTTTTCTAGGTCCTTTTCTTCTCTTGTGTTTCCCACTTAGAGAAGTTCCTTTAGCATTTGTTGTAGAGCTGGTTTGGTGGTGCTGAATTCTCTTAGCTTTTGCTTGTCTGTAAAGCTTTTGATTTCTCCATTGAATCTGAATGAGATCCTTGCTAGGTAGAGTAATCTTCATTGTAGGTTCTTCCCTTTCATCCCTTTAAATATGTCATGACACTCCCTTCTGGCTTGTAGAGTTTCTGCTGAGAAATCAGCTGTTAACTTTATGGGAGTTCTCTTGTATGTTATTTGTCATTTTTCCCTTGTTGCTTTCAATAATTTTTCTTTGTCTTTAATTTTTGTCAGTTTGATTACTATGTGTCTAGATGTGTTTCTCGTTGGGTTTATCCTGCCTGGGACTCTCTGTGCTTCCTGGACTTGGGTGCCTATTTCCTTTTCCTTTTCCTGTTAGGGAAGTTTTCGAGTATAATCTCTTCAAATATTTTCTTGGGTCCTTTCTCTCTCTCTTCTCCTTCTGTGACCCCTATAATGTGAGTGTTGTTGCATTTAATGTTGTCCCACAGGTCTCTTAGGCTGTCTTCATTTCTTTTCATTTTTTTTTCTTTATTCTGTTCTGCAGCAGTGAATTACACCATTCTGTCTTCCAGGTCACTTACTCATTCTTCTGCCTCAGTTATTCTGCTATTGATTCCTTCTAGTGTATTTTTCATTTCAGTTATTGTATTGTTCATCTGTTTGTTCTTTAATTCTTCTAGGTCTTTGTTAAACATTTCTTGCATCTTCTCGACCTTTGCCTCCATCCTTTTTCTGAGGTCCTGGATCATCTTCACTATCATTATTCTGAGTTCTTTTTCTGGAAGGTTGCCTATCTCCACTTCATTTAGTTGTTTTTCTGTGGTTTTATCTTGTTCCTTCATCTGGTACATAGTCCTCTGCCTTTTCATTTTGTCTATCTTTCTGTGAATGTGGTTTTCTTTCCACAGGCTGCAGGATTGTAGTTCTTCTTGCTTCTGCTGTCTGCCTTCTCCATTTATCCTTTAATAATATCCTTTAATGCATAAGCTGTGGCATATAACTTCGAATGCATTGTTCTCTTGGCTGGCATAGTCCAGATATGTAATGATTAAATGATACATTTTTGATAGTTTTGGATGCATTGAAGCAGTAAGATCAATTTAATAGTAGTCTGAATTGAATTAAGAATTTAGAAGAACAAAGTCTAGAAAGTCATTGACTTACAAAAATGTGTTGTTGGCTTGATGAAAATGTCATAACTAGTTTTGGGGTATGTGTGTTTATAAAGGAAATAACATAGCATGATGGTTAATGTAGAAATTCTAGAGTCAGCCCTGATCTTATTTCTAGTTATTAGCTCTGTGACATTGTGAAGTCTCTTAATGTCTATAGCTCTTAATATTCTCATTTCTAAATAGGGCTGAATATAAAGAGGTTGGTATAATGTTTGTCAAATTACAGGGCACAGTAAAGTGTTACACTATGTGACAGAGTCACAATGTATTTGAAAATAGGTGGCAAACAGTAAAGCACTATATAAATGTGAGGTGCTCTTGCCACATGACTTTCATGAGAAACATGTAGATTTCCTGCACAGAGCTGAGATGGGGAAACTGTCAACCAGACATTGTTTGTATTGCCAGTGGCTCAATAAGTGGGAGAAAGGGTTGGTTACAAGTTAACAAAAAAATTCATTGTATTAAAGATTAGCTCAATACAAGGCTTTTTATTGGTTTGTTTGTTTTTAACCTGAAAGTATGAATAAGCAACCAAGAATCAATATTCTGAAAATGCAACAAGGGGTAAATGAGTCTTAGAGAGTATGATCTTCCTGAAGCAATTCTAGTATAGCTAAGATCTTGGCTACTGTTGGAACATGTATGTGGGGCAGAGGGTATAAATACAAATTCCTTAGCATGATATTCAAGGTCTTCACAATCTTGTCCCTGACACATTTCCAATTTTTCTTTGCAGTATATCCTCCCATATTCCATAATCTTCACTGTCTCTGTCCAGGCCATGCATATGCAGACATCTTTGTCTCTGTTTCACCTAAAATATCTTCTCTCTTTTCCTCACAATTGTATTTGACATAATACTTAATCAGTAACTAGAAAATCCTGAAAGCTTTTCTAGTTTCACTTTTGGAGATCATAACCTCTCTCCCTGTGTCTCCCAATCATATTTCTTTTATCCCCATTTGTACAAATATGTCACTTTACTTTGAATTACAGTTATTTTTGTTTCTTTTCTTTCTTTCTTTCTTCTTCTTTTTTTTTTTTTCTTTTTTGCTTCAAAAAGCTTCACTGTTTCCATTTGGTCCAAGGCTTGGGTGAGAGTGCTCCAGAGTGGTTAAAAAGTTGCCTAGTTTTTGCAGAGAGGGGCTTCAGGCAGAAGCCCTGACACCAGAGAGGGCTCCTCAAAGACCACTGGGCTCCGGAGGCTCCTAGTCATGCTTGAGCGTGAGCCTTTCAAAGGGATTCTTGCTCAGGCAAACCTAGAGATCATCCAGCCTGCAGAGGTTGGTCAGGTGGTCACCCATCTTGATGAGTTTCACCTCCTCATCTGGGAGGTGGCTCTCTAGGAAGTCACAGAGGTGGGGGCCTGCACAGGCAGAACCCAGGGCATGCAGATCCAAAAGGGCCTGGTTCAGGTTCTTCTCCATGAGAATGGCAGCTTCCATAGCGTCCTGGGTTTTACCCCACTCATTTTGAGATGGCTTCTGCACATCCTGGAAGAGGGCATGACCACCGTGCTGCTTTTGCATTTTCAAGAGACTCTTGGCACCCTCGCACTTCTCCTCAGTCAGTTCACGGAAGAAGTAGCCCATGCCCTTCAGAGCCAAATAGTCACAGTCGAAATAGAAGTCCAAAGAGAGGTAGGTGTAGGAGGCCTGCAGATGCATGTTGACCAGGCGGTTGATAGCGACCTCCCCCTCGGTGGAATAATTCTGACAGATCTGGGAGCTCATGGTTGATCGGTAATAAGAAGTTAAGCTCAAAAAATGGTGTTGGCTAGTCCTGGTGACGAAGGATAGCTGAGTGGCTGATTCCAAAGGTTGTGACTGGAAAAAAGGTTGGAGAGTGGTCAGAGGCTGGAGCAAGGGATGTCCCTGCGGTCTGTTCCGTCCAAACATCGTTGGAGCAAGACAGAGATCTGTGGGACTGCTGAGTGCACTGCCTATTTGTGTTTATTATTCTTTTACTTGAAGGCCAGCTCCTTGAGGGCAAGTTCCTTAAGATCATCCTCTGTGTCTTCTGGTCTCCATAGCCCCTCAGTGCCTGGTCCAAAGCTTTGCTTGCACACAATGAGAACTAAGAAATGATTTTTGGATTGAGTTGAAATCAGACTTCTTTGAATAAAGTCCATTACCTATAGGAGTATCCCTTCTGAGGTTTTGAGACATATCAGCTTTTCAAATAGCCTTAACAGTTAGGGGTAGTCATTGTAATCTTTGATGGTTTCAGAGAAAGGGGACTTGTAAAAACTTTGCTCTTACCAGTGAAAATGATCAGGCTGATATTTGATATTGGGTATTAGAAAACCTATAACCTAATAATTTTGCTTACGTCATTGGAAAAGGAACCTCATTAAAAATAGTGGCAGCTGTTCCCTTAATGATACATTAATCCAGAAGCCTGTGGCCTTCTGCAATCTGTTAACATTTGCTGAGGACAGAAAATTTTAACATTACAATTTTTGGTAAGTTTGTTAGATATATTCGAAGAAATATATGTATTGAGCCTCTACTATGAGCCATACGGTGTTCTAGTCTCTAGTGTGACATTTGATCAAGACAGAGCTAAAAACCATTTTATTTAGAAGACTGAATGCCAAACTTTGTCTTGTGATTTAAAGCAATGAAAATTAATTCACCTAAATGTACTTTTTCATATGTCTTTAATGTATGCATTACTTTCTTCTTATTTAGTGTTTTTCCTTTAGAATTTTTATATTTATCTCATCTATGTAAATATAGAATTTCCTTTTAAAAATTTCTTTATCACTTATTACAACTAGTATCTAAAAACAGTAGTTTTTCCCTTATTGTTCCATGCTGTGTTTTAATTATTCTACCTTTTTAAAATTGATTTTTATTGGAGTATAGTTGATTTACAATGTTGTATACCATTTTTTACTTAAACTCCAAGAAAGTGAAGAAATTTGCACTAAGGTGTAAATAAGAGGTCGAAGTTATGCTAAGGATATGAAATGAAGTTAATGAGAACCTAGCAATGTTGAATTAATTTAAAAAATACTTTCTTTATAAGATCCTTATGGATCAAATAAACTACAAAAGGAAACAAGTAAGTAATGCTAAAAGGAAACAATAAAGGAAAATGGAAAATAAAACATATGGGCTATAAAAAATAATGATTAAAATAGCACACAAAGGTAGATGGATATGAGCCTTTTGAAGGATAACAGATAAAGAAATATTGGCAGTCAGTAATTCTTAAAATGACAACATATTCATTGAAATACTTAGGCACCTGTGGCTTCCTGGAATTATGTCAATTTATAACAATTCATTTATCCATTTATTTATTTACCAAGCATTTATTTATTTCATTCATCCAACATAGATTATAGATTTCAGGTTTCAGAGATGATGACAACCAGTTGTAACTTGATATAGTAAAGCAACTGAAATATATAAAATTTCTATAAATAACATCTTGTAATAGAATGGTGACAGTATATTTTCTTTCTCATGGATATTCATTAGGTTAAAACACTTTGAAAAGGAGACAGTGGTTTTATGTCTTGGGAATTCTTTTAGAGGAAATGTACATTTCCTATAATAAATACTTGGGCCCTAATAAAGCTGTTAAAAATAAATGAAATAAATGGTTATTTTTAAGGTAATACCAGTCAATAAATTTGAGTATGAAAATATGAGGAAATAATTCTTAACAGAGGAAGCAAGGGAAAAAATTGATAACTTTAGCTGTCACTTTAAAAAAGAACAAAAATACTTCGTGTTTTTGTAAATTACTCATGCCTCCTCATATTTGGGGAGAAGAATAAAATCTAAGGTAAATAACACAAAAGTTGCTTTCCTACATCAGATATACTTTCTTCAAAGCTGGGTATATGTCAAATTCATTTTAAGGCTACTATTGGCCTTTAGCTCCACCAAAAGACCATCAGAAACACATGTTGATCATGCAAATCTGAGCTTGTTAGACTTACAGTAAGAAAGAACACCAGTATGATAGATTGTTAGCCAGGTCTGTGAAGGGAGAATTTCCAGGAGCAAGTATATAGGGCCCTAGGTGATTTTTAAGGCTGATATTGCAAGGGAGGAAACTGGGATTGGCAAAATTTATAACAAAGTAGCTTTGGTTTGGTGGACATGATAAGGAGAAGGTCTTGAAGTGAGCTATTAGTCTTTATAAGTAAGCTATTTTGGTTGGTTCATAGACTTATCTTCCAAAGCAAGTATTTCCTATAGCAAGCTGCTAAGTTGCTTTTGCCCAGTCCCAGTTTTGTTTAGCACAGAAGCAGGAAAATGTATTTAGTCTTCAAAGTTTGTAGCCCAGGAACAGTAAAGTATGATCTTATTTCTCACTGCAAATAACTTAAAATTAATTCAGAGACCAGATATTTTTCTTTTAGGGTAAGCATGCTTCTAGTTCTAGTTAATTCCTTCACCATGAAGGGATCTCAAATGACTCCTGTGCTTCTTTAGTTCTTTTGGTCCTTACAGTATTGTATTCTTGTCTCCTTTTTAAATAGTCAAACTCCCATTGTTTTATTCACATATTTGGTTGATCTCCTCTGTTTCCAGTGTTGTGCTAGTTGTCAGGTACACAAAGTTGAATGAGTGTAATCTTGCATGAGACAAGCCTGAAAACAAATACATGCAAGAATTGATAGCTTGTGATGTTGAAACATTTTGCAGAGGGTACACAAAGAAGGTGTGGATGGCTGGACAAAGTTTTATACTGGAGCTAATGCTCGATCTGAGTTTCAAAGCATATGGAGGAAGAGGGAGAGAAAGGAAGAGAATTGTAGGTTAAACGAACAGGTGTGTAAGTTTGGGAAACTGCCAACTAAACAGAATGACAATTTAAAATAGAAGTATTACTTATATAGGAATATTTCATTCTTGCTCACATTTTCTTTTGAACATAGGTCTTATTTCCCTAATAAATCTGAAAGGATATTGTGCATGGAAAATCTTTTTATATCCCTCATGTCACCTAAATCTGTATCTAGAGAATGTGCTGTAAATACTCTGATTTATTTATATATGGTAACTGAGAAGACCAAGAGGAAAAATATTGTGAGTTGGATTATTTACTCTAACCAGTTTAGCAAATTACTGTTATTTTAACAGGGTTTTCAGTGGGTAGAAGACACATGGGTGATTCCTATAGTAATTCAAGCAAGAAGCTCTCCTCAGCTCTATAATTAATGATTGCGCCCAATATTCAGGGCCAGATTATTAATAACTCATAAGAAAGGGTATTTGCCTGATACTTATGTGCAGTAATTTTGCGTGGAAAGAATGGATGCATGTGTATATCACATTAATATTACCAAGCATGAAAGAAAGTCAGCTAGGGGGTTGGGGAAAAGCTTTTCTTTATGTATTAAAAAGATAGCTGTGACAAAGCGAGAGAGAGGCATGGACATATATACACTACCAAACGTAAGGTAGACAGCTAGTGGGAAGCAGCCGCATAGCACAGGGAGATCAGCTCGGTGCTTTGTGACCGCCTGGAGGGGTGGGATAGGGAGGGCGGGAGGGAGGGAGGGAAACACAAGAGGGAAGAGATATGGGAACATATGTATATGTATGGCTGATTCATTTTGTTGTAAGGCAGAAACTAACACACCATTGTAAAGCAATTATACTCCAATAAAGATGTGGAAAAAAAAATTGATTGACCATAAAAAAAAGATAGCCCTGTGAGGTTTGCTCTCCTTCTTTCTTATAGTCTGTGATGCTGATGTGATACAGTCATGCCTAAAGCTCTGGTAGCTGAGTTGTTTCATCGAGGTTACAATAGCATAAACACCAAAAAGCCCAAAAGCTGAAGATGGCCGAGCAAGAGGTTATGAATAGGCTGGCTTTTTGATGACTTTGAGTTGAGGAACCAATCCTGGGCTTCCTAGCTCCAGACTTCTCCTTATGGAAGATTATTAAATTGCTTAAAGAACTGTTTGTCAGGTTCTAAAAATCTTGCAGGTATAAGCTCTCCTTACTGAAACAATCCCAGTATATGCCTCTTACTAGATTTTCAATGAATATTTGTGTAAGGGGTGTTACTGAACTCAGAGGGGCTTGTGGGTTAAATTGTGTTAGTCTGCTAGGACTGCCATAACAAAAGATCACAGAGTGGCTGGCTTAAACAACAAATTCATTTTCTAACAATTCTGGAGGCCAGAAGTCAAAGATCAAGGTGTGGACAGGTTTCCTTTCTCCTGAGGCTCCTTTCCTTGCCTTGTAGATGGTCACCTTCTTGCATTGGCCTTATATGTCCTTTCATCTATACGTGAATATCCCTGGTGTCTCTCTGTGTATCCTAATCTGTTCTTATAAGGACACTAGTCAGATTGGATTAGGGCCCACCCTAGAGGACACATTTTAACTTAATTACCACTTTAAAGGCTCTATCTCCAAATATAGTCACATTCTAAGGTATTGCAGGTTAGGGCTTCAACCCTATGAACATGAATTAGGGAGGACACAGTTAATTCCATAACATAAACATTATGATTTAGGGTCTATTACTGCTTGTTTATTTCTTCATATAAACTTTTGAATCAGCTTGTTTATTTCCAAAGAAAATAAGTTCTTATTTTGTTGGGATGCTTTAGACCTGCAGACTAATTTTGGGAAAATTAGTAACCTTATGCTATAAACCTTGTGTAAGGAGAGGTAAGTTTTTCTTTTGATCAAGTATTTTTCTGTCTCTCAGGAGCATTCTAAAGTTTTCTTCTTAGAATATTTTTTTTTTTTTTGCTAATTATTATGTAGCTATATTATCTTTGCCTAAACATATTGTATATATTATGTTTTTTAATGGTTGTGTTTTTTTATTGAAGGCTGTTTATATTTGTGCCTAAAACTTCGTATAGCTTGTAATAGTTTTGATTTTGAATCTCGTGGCTTTTCAAGTACTACAATGCTATCATGTGCAAATAATGTTAATTTTGCCTTTTTCCTCCAAGTTTTACAGCATATATTTCTTTCTTTTCTTTCTTTCTCTCTTTCTTCTTTGTCTAAGTGTGTTAGCTAGAAGCCAGTTTTCATCTTCTAGTTGTTTCCTATTAAGCTTGCTAACAGATTTTGTATTTAGAAATAACTAGAAAATATCCATCTGTTGTCATTTTATGA